TCACCTCTCACTGGTTTCAAAGTGAATCTGTGATTGACCTTTTTAGGGATAAATCAGTTCAGGCTCTATAAGGTGTATTACCGATGCGAATGCCACCCTTTTTCCTTGACAAAAACAGTCATTTTACCTCCGAGACCACAGGGGTTGATATTCCACGGCTGTCTCAGCACCACCAGTGTTCTGCGAGGTAAAATTATTGGTTTTGTCAAGTGGGCTTTGACGGAAGCTTGGTGGATTCAACGGCTTCAGTTTCCAGTCGGTAAGGGCTGTCTAACAGCAAGATGAAGTGGTGAAAATGTTCTATATATAGCGCACACTTCAACTGATATAGATTTTTTTTAAGGTAGGACTTTCCACTTTTCCACTTTTAGGTGGCTAAAATAGATTTTGTCGCTTCCCAGATCAACAGCAGCTCATTGCATTGTGTCTTGCAGCAGCTGTCTCCAAACTCATCCAGCCATCTATATACACTGGCTTTGTAGAAGTATACAACCCCAATTCATAACATCCAAACACCCCTTTAACATATCCGTCCATTAACTTCATTGTCTAAAAATCTGTAACCTGTATATAATGTGAAATAATGGCTTAAATGTAAATTACAAAGACAGACAGCCATAAGAGTGAGATTAATGTGACTTCCATGCTGATGGAAATTGACCGCAGACATTGAACAGGTCAATCCCAATTAACCTAAGGAATAGTGATCGCACATGAGTGACAGTGATTCAAAAAAAGAGCGTCATGGATTCGACCTGCTACGGGAAGCCTTTCAGTACTGCCGCCGGAGATCAATAACTAAATATAGGGGACGCTAATGAAGCTGGAGCTCATCGCGGAGCTAAGAAAAACACCCTTGTTGATTATGCAATTCAAATGAAGCACAATTTTGTTTGGTAACCTTTGTCATTTTCGGCTTTTTAAAAAAAAAAACAGAAGAGACATTTACATAGTCAGGGAAACAGCCATCTTCTGTAATGATGCTCTTTTGGTTGTTTTACATTAGTCAGCCAGGCTTTGGTGGTAATTGTGATTTGTTCTGCTCCAGGTTTCTCTCCCCTGCTGGCTCTGTGGAGAGACACAAAGGCAGGTCTGCTCGCCCTGTGTGCCGAATTATTTTCATTTCACCTGGTGCATATTTCGGAGCGCGGTGTGACCGTCGGTTGTTATGGTACAAATTAGGCAAGGTCAGCTTGAGCTGTTGCCGTGGAGACAGGGTTACATCAAGGGAGGATTTGATATTGCCTTGTGTCTCTATCTAATGAGATTGAGTAAGTGAAATATATTTCAAGATGCAGATATCTATTAATTAACTCTGTTTGCTTTCTCAATCACCTATTTGCAAGCCTCTCTGTCTGAGTCCTACCATATTAAAAAGTTTGCTATTAATCTAAATTTCTGATTTGACGTGATTCAGTGCATAAAAACGTGTCTCATTCTCAATTTGTTTTTCTCTGAACATATTCCAAAGTCCAGTTTCTCTGTCTATGCTTGGTGTTATTCATCTTCTAAAAAAGAAAGCAAGTCATCCTGCAGGAGAAAAGAAATCTCCCTCCCGTTTTACTCTCTTGTCATTCTCGCTGTCCAACTATCCCTTCTTGAGCAGAGGAGGAGACAGCGCAGGGGACAGGCTTGTCCTCGCTCCAACACCCACAAAAGGGCTTTGATGCTCAGGTGGGAGGACTGAAAAGTCTCACCGGCTGCCACCCTGGTTCCTGGCTATGGGTGGCTCATCTCTGGGGCCAGAACTGCTAACACTGCAGGAAAAAAGAGGGAAACGAAAGAGGGAGAAAATAAAGCAAGAGATAGTCAGAGCGAAAGGAAAGATGCTGGGCTGTTATTCGTTGATTCGGAGCCCATTCCTGTGGTGGAGCCATCTGCTGAGGGAGGGAGAGATGCGAAGTGCAGTGCAAACACTAAAGCATGATCCACCCTGGTTCCATTACAACTGAACACCAGAACAGAAGAAGCTCCTGTACAATGCAGATCAGCACTGCAATGTTACCTTTGTGAAGGTGATAGTGTTATGTTCAGTTTTATTGAGAGTGTTAGAGAAGAGATAAGGTGCATTTAGAGGTTTAATTAGTGGTGTGTTGCACTGGGTAGTATTATACTGACATATGTATTTGTTTCCACATGGGGACTTGGATCAGGCAGAAATGTGTCCCTTAAGCTGCCAGTATGCTTCCTCTGTGTCATACTGAATAATGAATACTGCATGAAAAAGCTTGAGACAAGATAATAACATTACATTTTTAGTGATTTAACCTCCTGTGATGCACAATGAATGCATCTCCAGGTAGGCATATACATGTGTATGTGCGGTTATATACATACATGTGGTTCTATTTTGACTCAAAGCAGAGCTGCAGATTTTGCTCAGATTACTTGCTCACTTTTCTCTTATATATATTCCTATTTATTAACAAAGTGATTAGTTAGTGATGTTGATCTTGTAATGGATGTTCTAACATTCAGCCTTTTATTCATGGTGATAGTTGAGTACTTAGTATATGGAGTAGGTTGCTTTAGCCAAATAGCCTGATCAGTGCTTGCTGCGCCTAAAAGATTGAAATAAGTTGGAAGATATAAAAAAGAACCTTGTGGCATATGTCAAAAACAATGCTGCAGTTTCACTATTTCTTCAAAGCCGACAGTCTGCCTGTGACGAGTATCACTCAATCACTTGTAAAAATAAAAGCGCTTCCGCTGTGCACAGAGTACGGCACTAGCTTCTAGCTCAGCACAAATGACAGAAGGCTTTAGGGGAAATGATATATTCCCCCATGAGTTCCTAACTGACAGCTGACATAAGCTGTGAGTGTGTGTTGGAGTTTAGATCTTTAATCAGAGAGCACGTCGACAGCACTGATGAATTGCTTCCTCTGCTGCATAATCTACACGCGGCCCCCCCTCTCGACCTTCACTGGAGATTGACTGCATGTCTATGTGAAAAAAGTAAAAGTAGAGAAAGGAGAAGACGATCTATCTCCATTAATCCTTTTTTCACCCTGGTTGTTTAGCATCACATCAGGCTCACGACCTCCATCTTCCCCCTTGTTTCCTGCTCTATCACTTTTTCATTCCCCCTGCCATTTCAGATCACTATCTTCCTGTTGTTTCTTCCCTCTGTTCCCTCCACTAGCTGCGACTCTTACCCCGGGGAAATTCTGCTTTCCTAATGACATGAACGAGTTGTTTGTTGCAGAGAGAATTGGATGTTGATGTTGCCTGAGTGTGACACTGTTTAAAATGAAACTAACTCACTGCTCTTGTGTGAATGAGCATGCAATAATAGGCATAATATGTATCCAGAAAATACAGTATCTGCACTGCTGAGCGGCCACTGCACTGTTTTGGTCTTTCCTTAAAACACAAGTGCATACTGCCACCTGCTGTCCAGTAAAACTACTCCTACGATTCAACGTGATTTACCATAATTCTTACAAAACATATTGCAGAAATATGTGGGAAGTGAATCAGTCCAACCTGCCTCATAAATCCACCTACATTTGGCATTGACACAGGACTCCATTTCCCCCAAATGAGCCCAATGTCCTTCCAATTGTCAGCATCAGTCCCAGAAGTTAACAGAGCATCTGAAGCACACCTGCTACTTTGTCGTTCTGGGACAGAAAGAGATGAGAAGGGGCCTCAAGTCTTTGAATTTAAGTGAATCTAGGGGCTGGAGGCTCTGGCGATGACTTGGCAGAAGACTGAGCCGTTGCTAGAGAGAGACAGGGAGGCCACAGCCAGTCCACCTGCACAATCCAGCATGGTTATGTGTAATTGATGGAAAATGTGCTTGTGGGGTTCACTAACGACCATACCTAATGATTTACACTAATGGAACTCCATTGAGACAATGACAATAATGGGGCAAAACAAAAAATGTTGCCAAAAGACAGGAAGAGATTTGAATTTCAAGCCTTTTCAGTAAGGGAGGAAACTCTCAAATCAAGAAGGGTAGGCTGAGTTTGTAATGAAAATGGTCATTCATAACTGCATTACTGTAACTGGTCACAAATCTATAGATACACAATATTACCATCTACTAGGTGTAAACTCCTGCAGGCTATACAGTTGTTCTATAAGGGATATTGCTTGATTTAAAATAGTCTGTCAAAAGTAGTCATTTTTCCTGCAAACTGGTTTTACTCTGCTTCATTTCAGATGGTCAGTGTGTTAGCAGAACCCTGCTTGTGGAGTAGCCTGCACTCCCTGCAGTAGCTATTAATTACACTCAAATGAAGAACTGAAAAGATCCTGCTGCTTTCTCCACAGGCTCCTGGTTTGGAAAGGTCAGTGCCAAGGAAAAACATCAGCCCTGATATGTTGGCACTTATTGTGTGGGATAAAGAGAACTCCAGTATGACAATGTTCAATAATAATACTTTTTATAGCATGTCAGCACATTCAAGTCGGGGTCTAGCATTAATGAGCAAGAAGATTGTGCAATTGCTGATTAATGAAAGTGTAATCAAAGCAGGTGGCTTTAAGCCAGGATACAATTCACCATTTGCATCCATGTCTCACTTGCTACGTTGGCAGTAACTGGACAATTCTGCAGTGTTTTCTCACTGCATTACACGGAGAGGAATAAGAGGCTGGCTGAATGAGGCACATTGTGAGTAACTGTTAGGGTGGACATCTACAGTTAAAATAAATAAATACAATTAGCCAAGTAATTAATTTTAACATTTTAAATGTTGCCACCACAAAGAATTGTGTGTAGTCATCTCCTTTCCTTTTGTAAAAGATGCTCCAGTGTTCCCGATGCTAAAGGAGATAAGAAAAGAAGCATCGAAGCGCCTTTCCTTCGAGTTTCGAAAATTGGAACAGCTTGCCATGGCTGCAAAACATTTTAAGAATAGTTTAGGATCTTTCCTTAGATAAAAAGACTATTATACCCCATTCTGCCATTCGCTGCGCTAACCTGCTTTTGCTAGGACAACATGTGAACAGTCCTAATGGCGTTAAATAAAACACAACAACATTGACAAGTTTTTACTTTTTATTCATCGAGACAACATGGACATTAAAAGCAGAGCAAAATTAAACAAATCTTCAGTCCTCGAATGTTTTGATCAAAATAATCCTTTTTTTACAGTAAGGGGACAAGAGCAATCAACGTGAGCTCTAAGTGGAAGAGAAAAAAGAAACGCCCTGTCATAGGACTAACATTGTACATACGCTTTTAACTGACTATAAAAAGTTCAGGGATTGAAGTGGAACCTGACAAACCAAAACAAACCACAAGCAATTTTTTATTTATTTCAATTTCACTAAATGCCAAGAAACAAGGATGATGTGTAAAGGCTTTTAAAATAGGAACACAAAAACCCATAACGAACTTCTCTAAGTTTGGTATTCATTAAGATGCCTGCCTGACATCTAGACCAAGAAATACATCAGATGAACCACGACTACCCTCATCCGGCCAAAAGATAAGACAGATGGAACATGAAAATTAATTCCCCCCCCCCTCTCATTTACACATGTACGTTCGTGATTTTAAATAAGCCACTACACATTTGTGGTTCACCTTGTTTTTAAGCAGCGAGGTGTCAGGGAAAGGATGCGTGCGCTCTTCCACTTCTTCCTCCAACAAATATCCCAGAGTCCCCTGTTGAGTAAAAATGTCCACAAAGTGCAATGTCAGTAAAGGTCCCACAACAAGGGCTTGTAGCAACAACTGCTGCCACTTAAGCAACAACACTATCTACAGACAGAGGTACATATCCCTCAACTTAGCCACAGAGGAGAGTAGATCATGAAAAGGGACACTGCTAATAATGCACTATTACTATCACAACAGTAGAATTGCTGCCAGAATATTGTGATTTTGCATGTGTTTTTTTGAAGTATTGTTAGGATTATACGTTTGCACTTAAAATAACTTAATCTAAAAAATTAAACATTTGATCGCACCTTATACCCCAATGTTTTAAAAACAGAGACAGACCTGTGTGATATTTCTAACGCCAATGCAAGTTGACAAACACATCTTAACAACAAACAAAAGTATATCCTAAGAAAAGCTTAGTATTCCTGAACATCACAGGGAAGTCTAAAGTGACCATTTTAGCAGTTGGCATAGGTATATCAAGCAGGCTGTGAGTGCATCTAAGCATTAAAAAAGTGTCCCTCTGACATTTCTATATAGAGCCCTTTTCACCAAACATATTTGAAAGGTAGCAAAGAAACACAATAAAACTTATATACACATTCAAGCTTTCAAGTTCATGTTCTGGAGAAGTACAGAATTGTTTTTTTTCTGACAGGCAACAGCATTCAGAAATGGATGTGGGTAGAGAAAGGAGTACCTGGGGTGAGTACCTGCACAGTTTGACAGTCAGAGAGTATCCATGATTTTTAATTTGCCCTTTTCTCATGTGGTCTCGCTCACAACACCAACGCTGTGTGAGGTATGGAAGTCAGCTGCAATTCATTTGATAAACCCTACCCTCCAGTTAGTAAGTTAAGTAAGGCCCCCGGTGCTATAACACCCCCCAAACACACACTGCATGGCATTATCAGGCACAGTAAGCTGGACAACAGATCCATGGCATTTGAGGTATGACTACGGCAAAATAAATGGTTTGTGTTTTAACATAATACTTGGCTATAGCTGAAAGTATGTGTGTGTTTACTTATTTCTGAATTTCTCTTCAAAATGACTACATTTCTCTACTGAAAAGTAAAAAATTAAACAAAAACAGGTAAATACAGGCAGGAAAATTGGATTTGACTGGTTAATAGTGATGCTGCCGTTTGTCCACAGAGACAAATAAACATCTATAAGGATCAAAAACCGATATACAAAACAAGGGGTACCTTCGGGCATGTTTGCTCAGGGCTACACTGGCCTTTCCCTCTGGGCTTTGTGTGAATGTTTTCTGTTACTTTCTTCTCATTCATCGGGCCTACTTCTTCATCTTCAGTGCATACTTATGATGCACAATTCAAAAACAGGATAAAGATATATGTACATAAGACAAAATCATAGGAATTGAACTGAACGTAAACAGGGTGGGAAAGGTAGGGTGGGGGTGGGTAGGGGAGATGGGACAGGTGGGAAGGTGGAGGAGGGTTTTAGAGCCAGGGGGGAGCGAGGAGGAGGACGCACTTACCTGAGCCTGATCTGAGGTCCTATCAGATCAGTTTTAATTGGACTGAGTGTCACCTTCAGAATGGAGGAGCTCTTGCTGGCCGTTAATCTGAGGGGGGGCGGGGGCCGCCGCCTTTTTCTCCATCGGTTCTGGTTCGGACGAAGCCTTAATGGCAGCTGCATTGCCGTCAGAGTGCTTCTCTTTCTTAGAGCTGCTCCTCTCCTCTGTCACCTTACGGTCTGAGAAAACATTGTACAGGTCTATCAGAAATCTGCACACTACAGTAAGGATGGGTACCGAGCCCCGGTATAAAACGGGCCCCGGGGCTGAATTATTGAAGACCGTGGTACCGTTAAGCTCCGACGTTATCGGTCTTTTTATCGGTACTGGAGACATCTAAAAAATATCTCATATGTATTATTGCTACACAAACATTATATTGCAGTTAGTGTCGCCAACTCCGTTTCTAATACGCAAAAATACTGCAAAATGCGTCTATGATTATTTTGAGTATTTTCGATCTTTTCAATCCAGATGAGAAATCTCTCTCCCCCGTCTGTGTGCGAGGGGGCGGGGCAGTTTACACACACGCGGCTGCTACATGCAGCAACACACACACACACACACACACGGAGGAGATGGCGGAGAGAACGCGCTCCGAGGTGTGGTTACACTTTACCCGTCTCGATGTGGACAATGCTCGTTACCAAAAGTGCAATAAGAGTTTAGCATGTCAGGGCGGTAACACGAGCAATCTGTCGAAACATTTAGCAAAAGTGCACCACATTCAGACGGAGAAATGCACCGGGTTCGACTGTCTTTCTAGTAGCGCTGTAGCCCCATCCACGAGTAACGTTTCCACATCAGGTATGTTATGTATGCTAGCAGCAACACACTGAGTTAACTCAATGATACAAACATGGGTTAATGATTAGGTAACTGAGTTATTTATTTTGTTAAAGTTTCAGCTATTCTGTTTACATTCTGTCATCAGATTATTTAATACGATTTGTTAAAACACTGTTGTTTCTTTTGATGTGAAATATTATGTATTTAATTTAAATTAAATAATGTTAATTTTTGTTCACAATTAGTTTTTTCTCTCCAAAAGAACCGATAAGAGTACCGTTAAAAGACCGGATCGATAAGCGGTATCCATAAAAGTAGTAGTACCGTTAAAACCTTAACGATACCCATCCCTACAGTGGGACTAAGAGGGCAACGTGGCATGTAGTCAAATAAAAAACACGTCCTCACCTTTGTCTTTCGATGACCGCTCTTTGTCCCTGTCTTTCTTCTCCTCCCTGTCCTTGTCCTTGCTGCGGCTGCGATGGCGGTGAGTTTTGCGCTCTGCGCTGCGTGACCTCTTCCTGTCACGACTGCGGGAGCGACGCTTTCTGTCGGAGCGCTCACGACTGCGTTTCCTCTCCCTGTCCCGGCTCCTAAAAGATGAGGCAGAGGAATAGGTTATTAAGGCAACAGGTGATAGAATGTCTCATCAAAATGGCACACAAAGTTGTCTATGGTCAATGATTGCAAATATCAGTTTATAATACGTTTCATAGTAGAGGCATCTCATTAATACATAGGAACCTTTTCTTTTTTTTCACCTCACTACTGGTGAAAAAGATGCCTTTATATGACCATTTACATTTAAAATTGTAGATATAAAATAGGAGAGGCGTTACTATTAGTCAAGCGATAGTCAGCCATACCTGCTGCGCTTGCGTTCCCTCTCCCTCTCCTTGTCTCTGCTCCTGGAGCGCCGGCGATCTCGGGACCTGCTCCGCTTCCTGTCCGATGCTCGGCTGGAGTTGCGACTGTTGGAGTTGCTTCGGCGTGTCCTCCGGTCCCTCTCTCTGTCCTTGTCTCTATCTCGCTCCTTGTCGCGCTCCTTGTCTCGCTCCTTCTCGCGCTCCTTCTCTTTTTCCTTCTCCTTTTCACGCTCTTTCTCTCGCTCTTTTTCCTTCTCTTCCTCCTCTTTGCGCTTTTTCTCCCTTTCCTCCCTCTCATGCTCTCTGTCTTCTCTGTCCTTCTTTAGCGCTGGGTTTTTCATCTTGGGGTTCCTCTGAGCGACGGCGAAGTTTCTCCTGAGAGAGAAGAATCAAAGCATCATGTATTTGACATCATTCACTTGGGTTTGATATCATTTTCAAACTGACCACTTGTTCTTGTTGTAATAACATGGACCCAAACATGTGTACTGCACATCATGCATTACATTATGTTTGTATTGCTTATGACATGTTATCCTGTTACCTTGAGCTCTTCCACAGTGGATTTGATCTTGGCGTAGCCCATGTGTTGCTTGCCCATCAAGTGGTCGTCTACCCTGGACTGTGCGTCGCCCACAATGAGGAAGGCCCCGCACACCTCACACACCTCCATCTGTTTCTCTTGGGCTGCAAAGCTCTCGATGGTCTGGATAGAAAATACAAACATTACGTTATATGGACTGTGATAGGTCTAGAATCAAAACTGCTCGTCTTATTTTGCACAGATTTGATCACCTATATAAGAAAGAAAGATGTTTGCCAACAGACATCATTACATGACCAGTGCCCACTATCTGTGGGCCGATTTGCTGACTCACCGAGGGGGTGGAGGTGATCAGCTCCCTCTCGTCCTTTAGCTGCTCCACCAGCTTCATCATTCCCTGGGCCTCCTCCACTCTGCCCTCCGACCCCAGCTCCTCAATCTGAGCCAAAGAAAAACAGTTTGTTTAAGGTGATATGCGAGATATGCATCCTATTTACATTTTCAAATGACTATCTATGATTAATATTTACTAATCAATTATAGGTATAGGTATTTCTACATATTTGTTACAAACCTGCAAAACTAGGTCTTCAATTTTTTCTGTAAGAACCTGACCCTTCTCATCATTCTTTCCTGTTGGACCAGGACCCTGAAGAGATGAATACAATGTATCTCAGGTTAAAAAACACATCCGAATATATCCACTGCACTGCAAGATGACAGAAAGCTGTACTAGGTACAATGTGCATAACATGTGCCTATGTTTATGAGACCGGGGCCACAACGACACAATAAAGTGATAAGCATGGGTTACATAATATGCAAAAACAAAACGTACACACACCCCTGCATTCTGCTGAGCCTGCGAAAGTGCAAGGCGGGCGTGCCCTCTACGAATCCGGCGTTCCACCTCTGCCAAGAGGGACTGCAAATAGCGTAGGAAGTCCCGCTCATAGCCCTCCTTCATGAACCTAGAGCTTTTCTCATACCTGAACACAGTGTGATAGAAGTAGATTATTAAAAGGAAATACAAAGACACACAGCACTTGTGTTGAGAGAAGCATGATCAAAACTTACGTGATTCTAAGATTTTCATCATGGATTTTTTCACAAGGGCCTGAAAAAAAATAATAGCAAAGTGTTATCTTCCAATATGTCAGATGCAGCTATTGCTACATTACAACACACGCATATATAATGGATACATGTTAAAACGTTAACTTACCCAGGTCAGAGCGGGTGTTTAGTGAATAGCTCAGCCGGGCAGAAGCCGCATAGGTAGTATCTGCATACCTTCTTGAAGGAGAAACACATTTTTGTTATTACATACAAAATTATTCTTAAAATCTCGCTTACGTTAGAGTTAAATCTGATCAGGTCATGACGTTTTACTTGTGCTAACAAGGAAGAAATTAGCCCTGCAAGGCTGTCATTACGTGGATTTAACACGTTCTTACTATGTCTCAAATTACCAGTAAGATACACTGACTAAAGCAGGGCATATCGATAATAATGAGTAAAACAATAACTAACTCAGAGCTAAAGGTGGCAACAGCAAAACAGTAGTTACAATCACGTTATCTACAACGTTTTGATGCCGCATTGTGAAGCAATGAAATGCAGTTAGCATTAGCCAACTCTGCTGCTAATTTTACGAGTGCCTGGCCAACACTCAAAATGCCAGTTAACGCAATCAAATCGTATGTTATCGTAAAAATATGGACTAACCACACCTTGCCAAATCAAGCTAACTCCGATATAATAAGATTAACGGATTTATTTTACTACAAACGGTTTGCTAGCTTATCCAACTTGCTAGGCTAGCGCTAGCCAATATGCTAACTTACGGTCTCATCGTCCCATCGCACGTTGGATCGCTTCTCGTCAGGGGCCAAGTTTCTATCTCGGCCCATTAACTCATCGAGTAACTGGGCCCGCGGAAAGCATTTTGCACACAAGACTGTAGCCTTGATTTAAAGAAGGCTACTACAATATCTCGTGAAGTAGCTTTAACTTAATTCTAATCAAATGGCAGACGCTGTAACAACGCCGGCCCGTTTATGGTTCATCTGGGTTCATCTAACGGTAGTCCGGCAGAACAGAAGCCCTGCGGTATATGAACCGGAAGTACATGTTTAATGTTTTAATGGAACAAACGTTAATATTTCATGAGCAAATTGAGCAAATCCTCCTTTTTCAATTGTTTTTAACTTAAATGGATAGTTCACAATCAGCAATTTCATATGTGTAAACGTACCATATATCTCTAATTAGAAATATTTATAGTATACAATAGTCACTATAAGTACAAGTTCCAATAAATATATTTTGAAAGTGTGACGGAAGTGATGGTTTGCCATTATGCCTGCATTGATGCTTTCTTGACGAATTGAATTACTTGCAGTTCAACCGTGTGGCCACTAGATGGCGGTCACGATTACAATACATTTCCAAAGTTTACGGTGGTCAAATTGTGGAACTGCACTAGTGCTAGCTTTACTGAGTTTTATTTTAGCATTCATATTTCTTTCAACCCTTTCTTGATTGAGTTTAGCTGGAAGACCATTGCAAACTAATATGTTAATTATTTTTTTGGAGAACTGTATTTTGAAACTATTTACTGTAAATATGAATATAGTCTATATTACATCATGTCTTCATTTCCCATAGACTATACGATAGAGATTGATCCGAGAGTGAGGCTTGACAAATGGTATGTGTTGCAGTTCCTTGATGTGGTCACAGGATAGCAGTGAACACTCCACCACAGTCAGTACGTGTACTTAAAGAGAGCATCGCTGTGTACTATTAGTACTTCCGGGGATTATTTTCAAAATAAACCCACAAAGCCGAATAAATCTGAAATACATTAACACGATTGATCGTGTTATTTTTTCTCTCAATTAAGTGGTCGCAATTAGGGACTTCACGACTCTACATTCTTCCACGGTAATAATATAGATATAAATATAATGTCATGCGTCTTCTGCGTACATGGTCCATAATATATTAGATAAGCAACACGTTGTTGGGTTTTTTAGTGGATCTAATAATGCAACATTTGGATATTAGTATACCAATTGAATGTATCTTTTGTCTTTCTGATATAACAGAAAAAACTTAAGAAAGTATAGCAGCACATAACACATGTAGAACATAAAATTATCATATAAAATATAATTACATTTTAAAAAGCAGTGGGGTACATATCATTCATATGATATAAACATAATTAGACACTCTGCTTCAGTGAAAAAGTTCCAACATTTTTCTTTAAACAATTTTGCATTGCTATTGACAGCCCAGACCCCAGCCCTGGTGTTAATAGCAGTGATTTTAATCTCTGATGTCTCAGTTATTTACTCAATGACGAGAACTCAGGCTGGATACTATCAACTATTTTACATAAAGTTAAGTGGCATTACATGTGTTAGATAATTGAGAGTATTCAGAGCGGAACTAAAGTGTTTGTGCTTACAGTTGTTACATCTAAACATGCCCCCCGATGAGGCGGTGATGCTTTCTGCCAGCCCACTGACGGAGCTCTGACACCCACTGATGAATGCATGCGTGTTGGCAATGGTGTTTTAATGTGAAATAACAACGAGGATAAATGGATGAGGACGGGACCTGCAGTGTAAACGCCAAAGACCTAACATAAAGTTGCATTTATCCGACGTGCTGCCACAAGCTAGCACTAAAGACTGCTAGCTCCTGTTAGCCGGGTGGCTAGTGCTAGCTTGCACGTCTATTTTTAGTGGAGCTCTTTGCCATTAGTGGGGAAATCCATTGGCAATTCGTTTTGTCAACTAAATCCGCCAGGGTTTTGTGTTTCCTTTGATCTCGCAGCGTTAGTTGTCTGTTCCAAAATGTCCACTATTTCGTTGGATAAAGAGTTACAGGAGCGACTGAGAGAGGCGTATGCCATCGGGGACATCGACGAAGTGCGGGGTACTGGTGGAGAGTGGAGTGAATGTTAACTCACAGAATGAAATAAATGGCTGGTGAGTGTTGGAAGATGTGCTCTTGAATACGTTAAGTTAAGGTGTAAGGTTTAATTCACACATTTGTAATACTTTTTGATGATAATCTGGAGTTCAGTGCGGACAAGTGTGTTGTTACAGGGATTAACGCTGCTCAGTGTTATCTTATTAGGCAGAGAAAGGCTTGTCAGGAAGCCAGACATGCAACCTTTATCCTGCTTATTCAAACAGTAAATACGTGCCTTGTGAGCTAGTGTTTTGGAATGCTGTGAATTATAAATTGACATTATTCTAATAATCTCAAACAACAGTAACTATGTACTTTACTAAGTACATTTGAACGAAAGGTAAATTGGCACATTGCTTGCTCCAGTCATGAAATTGCCAAGCCTCTTCTGATTTCAGATTGTTAGTAAATAGGTTTATTGACTTCAATAACATATTACCAACATAATACAGTTGACTTGTTTATGTGAGATCCAAACTATATTATTATAAATCATTATAAAATATTTCACATGCAGTGCACATTTTGTCAGGACATAAATACATTTAAAAACATGTGGAATCTGCTCTTCAGTTCATTCGAGATTCCAACTTGCTTATGTGATGATAAATGAAGCTCTATAAATGTAATTCTCCCAATGTCTCCAGTATTAATCCTCTTATAAACTTTGTCATTTAATCAGCATTTTTTTTGTTGTTTTGGTTTATTAAACTGTTATCTCTCTATCCAATTTCCCCACCAGGACATGTCTGCACTGGGCATGCAAGAGGAACCATAAGCACATAGTGTCCTACTTACTCAGTTATGGGGCAGACCAGGAAATCCTCACGGCTAAAGATGAGTTGGCCTCGCAACTTACATCCAAACCAGAGATCAAGCGACTTTTAGGAGGTAAACTACACCTGTTTTACAGTCTTGTTCCCTGTTCTTCCCACACCATTATGAACGTTTCCAGTTGTTACTTGCCTGGGGTTTATCAGCTGCATACACAGTCCTTTTGATACCTTGATGTAATGTACAGGTTATTACACCTGATATAGGTTGTCTAGGTTTGGTTATTAATAACCTTTTTTCTATGCACATTATTTTCCACAGTTGAAGTGGAGGAGGAGCTGGAGGTCAAGGAGTCTGAGCTGCCAATCATCCCAAATTACCTGTCTAGCCCGGCCTTTCATGTTTTCAAATCTTGACAACAAGTCAGAGATCCTCCTGGCACAGCACCTTGCACAGAATGGTTCAGCAGAACACACCGAGGACACGCACAGCGATTCATCCTCCCTTTCCCCAACTCCGGTGCTTGACCAACCCCAGTACATGCTATCTGATGAGCCCAGTCCTCCACCAATCCCCATCAACCACAACCAAGCCCTGCCTGGGGAGTTCCTACCTGTGACTGGGGAGTTCATACCTGTGACTGAGCAGAATGGCATTTCACCCAACTCGGCCTCGTCCCACAACCACACTGTAGTAAACTGCACAGTGCCCATGGACCTGTCAGTTGAGCCGCACCTGGTTAACCATGCAGAGTACCCACACGCAGTGGCACACAATGGCACCATGTGCTCTCCTCCTTTGGCCTCCCCCAGCCCCAGCCAGGCCAGCAGCAGTGGGAGCCAGGTCCAGGCCCCGGTGCCCGGCTCTAACCCCCTCTATGAGCAGACAGCAGTCCATCTCTCAGCAGCTCAACTACAGCCAGGCCGGTGGGGCCCATGCCAGCCTTCCAGCCGTTCTTCTTCACCAGCACCTTCCCTGTCAACGTGCAAGGTGAGAGACTCATCGTGTGTTAATGTCCGTCCACACATACAGATCACAACCTATCATGGCATAAGTACTTTAAGTAGTAGATGACTCTGGCTCTGCCCCTAAAGTGAAACGCCAACCAGCACCGCTTGATAACATTTACAACTTGTTAATTGACATATACGCATTTTTGGACAAACGGAAGATGGAAACATGTCAGCGTTGTGTTTTTATGTAACTGGACGAGTTAATTTCTTGGCAGGTAGTTTTGACTTCCTGAAGGTTTTTAAATTACCATGACGTTGCCAGGCAACCAGCAGACACTACAATGAGTAATTGCATGTGGCTGCCTTAACACACCTGCAAATTTGGCACGATTATTATTATTATTATGATTGGACGTGCAAACTGTGGCGCTCTGCAGTGTTTGTTGTTTCTGTTTATACATGTAATACTATGTTTACGTTCATATTGATTATTTGGGAGGTAGGGTGGTGTCAATCTTTAGCCAAGTTAATTTAGTGGAAAAGTTAAATAAATGAGTCAGCTAAAATTAAAAAGTTTCAAAGAGAGATTATTTATGGGGCTTTTATTTATTAAATGTATTTCCCCCAGAAAAAAATAATTATGTTTCTGGCCCCTGGAAAAAGCAAGTTGGGGGTCCCTGTTCCGCAGTGACTCTCACCATGGGCTCTGTTCATCTTCTTATTAAAAGCACAATATCTTTGTTAATAGAGAGGTATCACTCTGGTGTTTTTCTATAGAGCTGGTGCTGAAGGTGCGTATCCAGAACCCCAACACTCGGGAGAACGACTTCATCGAGGTAGAGGTGGACCGCCAGGAGCTCACCTACCGTTCTTCTTCTGAGGGTCTGTTGTCGCGAGTTGGACATCGGCATGGAACATGTGGAGAAGATCCGAAAGCTGCCCAACACCATGTTGAGAAAGGGTACGGGAAAGAAAAATACAGTATGGCAACAGTAAGGTACTTGCTGTGAAATTATGAATTCCTAATGGTCCTCTAGTCTGTTTCATCTACTAAATGAATTGTTAGTAGGTGATTGTGTTATTAATTTGAATGTAATCCTTCTCTGTCCAGGACAAAGACGTGGCTCGGCTGCAGGACTTTCAGGAGCTGGAGGTTGTGTTGGAGAAATCCGAGGGCTTGTCTCTGTTCGCTGGTGGGAGCCTGACAGACCGGCCCTGCTACAACATGAAGGCCTCCCCGCCTCACCTACTAGAGCCACACAAAGCTAACGCTGGGCTTCTGTAGCTACCCTCAAGCAACCTTTACTAGTTGCCCGCCCAAGTTGCTTGTTACAGCTTTCCCGGCTTTGATGTTGCGCCAATTTACTAACTGGGATTTGTTTTTTCAAGTTCCGTAGCTATTGTCCTCCTCTTGTCCTCCTCGGGCCCTCTGCCGCTTTAGTGTACCCAACCAGTTGTAAGCAATTACTGATGCATGGTGTCCTAGATTATGAGCGAAAGTATTTGGGCCCCCCCCTTCCCTCCTCTCTTATCTCTTTCTCTCCTCCCACTGCACTTTGTGCCAAGGCTCCAGTGGGATCTACAGAGGGAGACATTGGCCTGTCTTCCTTACAGACTGGACTTGAACTGGACTCAGTTATAGCCTTATTTGGACACATCCCTAGCGGTGGTCTACGTCAGTGTGGACTATGATAAAACAAAGGATTTGCATTACTCTTACCAATACATTCATCATCAGTCCACAGAATGGGACACGCTGCACACAGAGACTTGAAGTTCTCAGAAATGACAATTAGAGTGGTATCAGATGTTCTAGCTGGCGTACACACTTTCATACATGCTGAGGCATAACCCTTAGTGTCTTCCTGCAGAGCGCATCGATTACTGGCTTCGATTCCTAAAGTGGAGGGTAATCTCACACCAGGCGACGACAACGATATCTCTCCGGACTAAAAGTACTTCTATTTGCGGAGCACACATTCAATACGCTTTAATCTAAACGAACAAAAGTATGGGACACATCTGAGTACCTGTTTCCCTACATACATTTAAATCATTTAGGCATACATTGTGGAAAGAGAAATAATCAGTTTCAAATGCTCTCTTCTGTTTCTTTTCATGCGGTACAAAAAACTGATATCTTTGAGATAAATGTGTGGCAACTAATTTTATTTGTATTTTGTACAGTCAGTAGCACTTCTGCTTTGACCGGTGTGCTATTAGGTTCAGTCAGCATAACATTTACACTGTCAACTGTGAAGTATTTATTTAAAAAACTTTTAATTATATTGATTCTTACTGATGAAGCGAGACCATGCGCTTTAGAGTAGCGAGGCTTGAGTCCCGGTAAATGTTGCGTTTGAGGGCTTCACTTATAGTATGTTCATTTCAGTCGCTGTTCCTTTTTGTTTTAACTGTGATTAGAATTAAACCAAAAACTAATTCTAGCCAGCAAAGATACTAAATGTAGATTCAACTATTGCTGCTTCAGATCAGAATGCAGCTGTGAAAGATGTCTTTTCCCCCAAGTGAAGAAGGAAAAAATAAGTTTGACACTTGGTTTTATGATTGAGTGCTTCTTTTTTCCTCCAGCACTAATCAACATTTGTATTGATGCCACCTGTCACATCTTATTTATAAGGTAACTATATTTACTTAATATATCATAAACATATGTATGGCTTTAGGGCGGTAGTCGAGGCCAGCATAGTGCTAATATACCGTTTCTTTTATCAAAGGACATTTTTCAAAGGTAAAGTTTCTATGGGTAGCTAAATCAGAGGCTCTTTTAATTAAACGTATACTGACAAGACGATCTTCACTGAAACCCTATACTGTACAGTAAGAGTTTAAAAGGTTACGAGACACAGTCATGTTGTGTCGGAGGATGATGTTTATGCTGCTTTCATCAACACTTTATATTCCTTTTAATTCTAAATGCTGGGGCTCATTTATTTAAGCAGTGCAGTAGCCAGCCACTACACATTATACATACAATCAAAAACCCAGTGGGTAATTGTTTACTGTTTAAAATGTATACCCGAAGCTCTTACTGTCAATTGTATGTTTTATGATATTTTTTAATTATTATTATTTTTAACCAGTTTGGCCTGTTTTTTGTGTCAAGAAATTCTACTATCGAGCAAGACATAGTTCAGTAATGGGGAGTAAAGTGCTGTTGTTGAAGCTAAGTGCAATGTGGAGGGATGAGAATGTGTTTCAAGGAGGTTGCTGTGAGGAGGAAAGGACTACCAAGAGTGCTATTTTTTCTGTTCCTGTCACATGCTTTATTTAGTGAAGCTGTGCCCTCACGTTAAAGGCCAGGAGCTTGGTTGAGAAAGTGGGTCGCTGAATGGGGAGCAGCATGTCTGAAGTGGGGTTTTTATAGGATCTTCTTTGATTCTGGGGAACTGAAATAAACTAACATTGTATTTGTGGGGTTGCTTATTGTTCTAGAAAAAGCAGAATACATTTTGACCTAACCTATGCATTCAGAGTCTGATATTTTTATATACAGTACGTCCCGTGTACCTATTGAAACGATTTTAGGCACTGTTAAACGTGTGTTATCTGTTCTTTGATAAAGCATGGTGAATTACTTTCCTTTTTTTCTGCATATTGTTTATCATGACTGATTGAAGTAATTCTGATTGAATGAGTATTTAACTTAATACTCGCTTTAAATCAAGGGACCAGTTACATGTTTGGTTTGGCTTTTGTTGCAGGTTATCATTTCTTTTTACCTGCATGTGTGTGTTCTGGATGTTGAGGTAAACTCCCCAACAATCCATTGAAATGTATGTGTCGACAGAGAGCCACTAGAGGGAGCAAAAGTGCAAACATTAACATTAGAATAACCTAATAGGTAGGTATGCCACTTTAGTTCATAATCAGAGGATCGCTTTGTTTTGGTTTTTTGTTGCTTGAATTTAATTAAATTCATAAAAGTATTTTAAAACATGCTGTTATCTCTGTACTGAAATGCATCTTCAATACTCTAGATTTTATAATTAGACTCCTTCATAGCGAGTAACAGGTTGAAAGTTACCAAACTTGTTTTTGGCTCAGCATTCAAATGCTTATTGACAATGATACATAAGAAAAATTATCATAAGTAGAAAATGAAAACTGTCACTAATGTCACAAAAACGAATAAATGATCTTCATTTGTATGACTATATAGCTATTGTGTGAAATATTTCATTATTAAACACCAGAAAAATAGCACAAATACTTACACTTTGAGGTGTATCTGCACATTGACTCTAATAAACCTCAATAAATGTTTCTGAAATATTTACTTAGATATATAGTATTTCAAGTGAGGAAAAATATGAACTATTTGTTGCCTGAATACACATTTTCATTGATTGGCTTCATATAATCTTCAATTTACCTTGTCAGTTTACAACTACTTAGTTCCATAATTATCACAGGCCTTTCCAGTAATGTTTTATATTTCAAAGTTCAGTATTCTTCCGTCCAGCTGCAAGTGTTTCCTTTTGACCTTCATTGCACAACAAGCCATTGTTGTACATTCTGTTTTGAACTTAAATAACCCTGACATTTTGTTATGTTCCCTTTGGGATTTAAAGCACATAAACAACACCTAAGTAATGGTCGTACTGACACACTCGGTGTCTTTGGAATCCTAACCTCCTTCAGTGAAAAAGAATACAATAGTGTTCATGTGGCGAGCAGATGTTCAGTGCAATCCGGACAGCACAATATTGCATAATCTGAGCAGAATGGTGTTGAGAAAGTTAAATGTGTGTATCTGTGCAATCTAAATAGGGATAAAGGAATTTACGGTGATCATGTTGTATACATTTCAGTGAACGCCCGTGAATCCATTGCTGCATGTCTGTCCATCGGCATGTTGTGTTGTGTGTCTAGACTGAGGCTGAGGAAGCAGCTTAGGGCCCTGCTGTGGCTGGATGTGTCTCTCTCCTTTGTTCTGGAGTGAGACACTCATAATAAGCTTAGTATGAACAGTCATAACACTTTCATTGTTTCTGACCAGCTTCCCAGGACTCAGCCATGGGCGAGAGACGTGAGGGAACTACATGGTCCAGAACCCTTAAGAGCATTTTAGAAATGGAGACATAAGGCGACGTTACTCACAGGTACGTGCCTTGCTCGATGAGCTTGGACTCTGGCCCATGGTGCGATATGTGCCTATCTCTAACAGGCATAATGCACAAAGCCAATATACAGGGCTACTTAAAACGACAAAATGCATGTATTACAACATAGAGAGATTAATGGTGAGGTAAGATGTACAGTAGCTTATATCCGTATAGTACAGTGGCCTCCATCCCACAAACCGGGGAACCCCGTGAGCGATTTATCCCTCAGAGTAATTTGTCCGAGTGGAGCTAGGCTTCTGGAACAAAGCTGAGGCACTTGTAAGAAGGGGTCATCCGGAAAATGGACTGGAGTGTTACAAGCATTTCATTATTGCCTTCGCAGTGCAATCCCGCATACAGCAAATGATAAAAGGAATTGTTCAAACGTTTTGGAAAGTGTTCTTATTGGCGGAGAGTTAGATCTGAAGATTGATAGATAGGATATTGTCCTTTCAATATAAGGCTGCAGCCACCAACCTGTTAGCTTAGCATAAAGGTTCTTATAACATACTCATTTCCTATGGGAAACAGCTATCTTGTTCTGTCTGGATAACAAAATCTGGCGACCAGCACTTTTCGCTCATTGACTAACTTGTAATAGTGAATATGTTGTATAATTTGTATACCCATTTACAAGCTTTACGTCACCATAACCACATATTGTCATATTCTGAAGAAAAAAACATTAGTGAAGACATCACTTGAGTTGCAGCATTGTCTTCATCCTCCCCAGAAAGCGAGGTGAGAGAAGGTTCAAAGTCAAGGTCTGAATGAAGATCAATCGTTTTTAAAATCTAGAGCTCCTGACATGGGGTTGTCAGAGGCTTTATTCAATATGGGAAATGCCCCCATCCCCAGTGTCGGCTATGCTGGGAATGCAGGCTTTGGAGGGGTGTGAAGGTTAGGGGTGAGAGGGTGGGAAGACCCTGAAAACACAGCTTGACTGTGTTTGTGCATTTGCATTACATTGAAAGCATGCATATGTATGTGAAATGGGTAGGTGTGTAATGTGCACATCCATTTTCTTTTTAGTGAATGTTAGTATTGACAGCTAAATAATCCGTGTTTTTTAACTATATCCACTTTATAATTGGTTACTTGTTGTGCATGCATGTGTATGACTTTTAATTGTGTGGTGGTGTGTGTGCACTTATGTGTGTTTTTTGAGACATTGCTCACAGCCTGCAGAGCAGTGGGCCTCTTTGGACTCAGCAGGGATGCACAGACTCCATACATACACTAACACACACACACACACACCCTTTGTTCTTCTAAAGATAACCATATTTTTAAGATAAGCAAAAACAGTTTTATTGGGTTGAAAGGATGTTCTTAAATCACTATTGGTGGGTCTGAGATGTTGCGTCATTATTTTTTCGGTTAATTTCACATCCAAACAGACCACCATCCTGTTTGTTTTGTTTTAAGGCCCCTTTTCAACCCTAAAAACTTCCTAGAATTTGCTTTTGAGAAACCTGGTTTTCACAACATGAGATCAAGCTGTTAGGAGACTTCTTACAGCCTCATCGCATTCCCACTGTGGTTTCATGCTCTGCATCACTGAACAATAACAACAATTTAACAACTTTGAAAATGCTTTAAATATAAAATATCTTGTAAAAAGGATTTAAAAATGTTAAAGGCCCATGTCATGGCCATTTCTACTGATCATAATTCCATTGTTGAGGTCTACTAAAATAGATTTATACTGTGCAATTTTCCAAAACTCACATTGGTTTCTCATAGAGCATCTCTGTAAAGTATGTATTCACCGGTATTCACTCTCTGTCCTAAACGGCTTGTTGGAGCTCCTGCCCCCCCCCCTCCCTATGAGCCCAGTGTGCTCTGATTGGTCGGGACGTTTGCGAGGCTCGTTGCTGCAAGGAGCGGACAGGCTTCCGGGTCGGCGATACAGCGGAGACACAAGCGAAGAAACTCATCCTGAGCAAACACAAACACTCACAGCCGAAGTAAAAACAATAAGTGTGGCTTGATATTGAGTAAGAAAAAGGTTTATAACGCTGTGAGAATGGGGTCTGCAGAAAGCATTTCTTCCGGGATCCCAACTTAGTAGCCCAAAAACGTTTACCCATTTACACAGTCGTGGTAGATACCTTGTTTGTTTTAAACATCATAAATACACAAACAACAATGATACTTACAGGTTGTGTACACGAATCTCCCGCTGGTCCAAACAAAGTAGGAACAGCATCGTTCTTCAGTGCCCTACGCTGTACATATCCGGCATGAATCGCTGAAAGGTTGTGTGAAGCTTTGTTTCGTGAAATGCTGGCAGAGGGTGTGGCCTTCTGGGTATTCCACACGTCAGTAGTACACAGGAAAGTAAACAATGGAAAATGAGAAATCTCCAACGAGGCGTTTTGGGGCAAGCGACTGTGTTAGAGTTTTACTCCCTACAGGGTGTACTTTGAGGGTTTTGGACTCTGCAGACCGTTTACATGCATAAAAACCTTAACACACAAGGGGACGGGTAATAACCGGAAAAGCATGACATGGGCCCTTTAAAGAAATGGTCAAACAGGATCTTTGTGGTTTTTAATTCACACAATTTAATATTCCATTTGTTTGATGGATTATCAAACACGCTAACTGGGATGTTTGGTGTATGGAGACATGTTGATCATGTTAGGTTGCACCTGTTATGGATGACAAAAAAAGCTTCTCTTTTTTTTCTCCTTTAGAGAAAAGGAAGAGGATTAGAATATAGGTGGTTTCACTTAATCACCACCCCAAACATGTTTAGCCATTAATGTTACAAAAAAATAAATATATATATATATGGAATACATATTGTAACCACATCTACACTTCAATATGTACAGAAGTTAAACCACAACATGATCTTCAAAAGTCTAGGGACCACTGAGTTTGGTGCCATCTCCTGGATTTATTTTGTTCTGCTAAAGGGGAGAGATTTACAGACGGAAGATGTTTGTTTTTTTTAGAACAAACAAAGCATCTTTGTAATATGAAATACTACCCAATAATAACTATAAGCAAACATGTAACTGTAAGCTAATATAAATTATACATTGACTTATGTTACTACAAAATAGCATTTTTTTTAAATAAATAATCAGTAGCATTTATATTCATATTGATGCATGAAGATACAGTGTGCACGTGTGCGATAATTTAATGAAAAAATGTTATCTACTATAATTATTTCATTGCTAAATCTGGGACTTCTCTGCAAGCTAAGGGTTAAGGCAGCCAGCGCCTTTACGCACAGGTGTCTCGCCAGTCCTTTATGAAACAGCGCCTGCAGACTGTGGGCTTTTTCCTTTTTTTTTTTTTTTTATTACGTTGATCATAACTGTAACTCAGCTGGGATGTGCTGTCCGACTAGACAGGTCACTGTAATTCATGTAGTTAGAATTTAAGAGGGTTTCCTCACCGCAGCCCTAATCTCTCGCTGCTTTTAAACGTGGAGCGACAAACCTGGAGAGCTCTCTACATCGAGACTGGTCCCGCACGCTCCGATAGTTTCTCTGCTTTTGTTCCGTTTCTGATTCGTGGATTTCCGTGAAGTTTGAAGATAGTTTGAGAGTTTTTTTCCAACATTGAAACTTGCATTTTCACGATTTTTAGCCGTCCATTCTGTTACGCGTCGGATATGTGGTGGATGCTGTTTCCCCGATGGATTTGGTTTATGCTGGGACACTTTTATGCTTTACTCCTTTTTATGGACAGCTGCCGCGTGAGAGCAATGCCAATGCCCATGTCTGTGTCAAAGTGGTGTACTCTCACGCAGGTCTGTGCCCGAATGACCTGAACCCCAACCTGTGGGTGGATGCGATGAGCACCTGCATGCGCGAGTGCGAATTTGACCAGGTGAGTGCTGCACGTGAAATGTGTAGAAGACAGGGCTTAGAGTCTAGACAAAGGGTATGATGGAAAAGAAACCTGAATGTCAAACAGCTAGATCATTAAATCACCAAAAATATTTTCCTTTTCACTGTGCATGAGCTGCTGCATGAGGGATAAAAAGTAAAGCAGAAACAGAATTCAACAAAGTAAAACTTATGGTTAAGTAATGTTAGACATTCTTAAACACATTTTTTTTATTTATTAATGCTGTCATGAACGCAGAAAAACATATAGACATAATCTGAAAGTAACATTTTGTCAAAGAAAGACCAGCAATTGAACCATTTTTATGTTTTATGCATAATTAAATTTTTACTGAAAAAATTAATAAAAACAGTAATACAAAAGCTGTGGTTTTCTTTTCCAATTTTAGGACTGTGAGACATTTGAGAAGTGCTGCCCTAATGTATGTGGTAACAAAAGCTGTGTGGCATCACGCTATATAGACGTCAAGGGGAACAAGGGCCCCATAGGAATGCCAGAGGGCGCCACCTGCGACAAGTTCATGTGTCTCAGCAAGGGTCCGAGTGCGACATCTGGGATAGCCAGCCTGTGTGTAAGTGCCGGGGACCGCTGCTGTGAGAGAGAACCCCACTTCACATGCGCCTCTGACGGCAATGACGTACTATAACAAGTGCTACATGGATGCAGAGGCCTGTTCCCAAGGGTATCTCTATCTCTGAGGTCACCTGCAGGTGGTAACATGTTAAGTATTTTACATATCTACTATTTAGTTTTTTGGTTTGTAATGAGGTAAAGTTGTCTTTGATTAGTGTTCAAAATTAAATTTAGAAAAACTCATAGAAAGATATTCTGTGTGTAAATGTCATTGTAAATAAAGGTGTTAATACAACATTAAGAACATATTATATAACAGCAACAACTATTTAAGTAAAGATATGGTTTGAGTGACGTCCTCAGCAGAGAAGTCGATTTCTGCGTGTTGTTATCCAAGCTTTTTATTTTGGTAGTTGTGCCTGCAGTGTTAGTCCATGCCAGTCCTTTTGTGTGTACTCACTGAATTGCTCATGGCCATTGCTTTATAATGCGCTCATATGGTAGTAACAGCTGATAACGCCTCCCGCCCACAGTGGCTGGATGTCATTGTTGCGCAAGATAATGCCTCCAACAAACCTCAAACTCCCCCCAAGATTAACCCTGTTATGTTAGCTCTGTCAGGCCTTTTGTCTATGTTAGCACTTTCCGCTCTGGTAACAAACATTAGCTGCTAGCACCGCAAACGTGCTCTGAATGTTGTATTTAGCCCTTTCAAAGAAGAATCTTTTACATTGTCTTGCTCTGATTAATTCCTTTCTTTTCAAAACCTACCTACAGATACCATCTGACATGGCCAAACACCAGTCCAATCCCAGCAGAGACCACCTTACATCCAACCACTGCCCTCCAGACCACCCTCCCAGCTGACATCCAGCTCCCCACCATACACAGCGGCCCCACCCAACAGGCTGTTTTTGTGGGTGAGACAGCCAGCTTCCTGTGTGAGGTCTCTGGGAAGCCACATCCAAAAATCACCTGGGAGAAAACACTGAAGGGCAAAGAGAACACCGTGATGAAACCCAACCATGTCCGAGGGAACGTGGTGGTCACTAACATTGGCCAGCTGGTCATATACAACGCGAAACTTCAGGATGCCGGGATCTATACATGTACAGCCAAAAACGTTGGGGGAGTGTGTCAGTACACTTTCCTTTGGTAGTGATCAGGAAGGAGGCAAAAGGCAAGAAGGCAGAAGGGAATATTACAAACCTGCCATTTCCAGCTGAAGAGTGTCTTAAGAGACCCGACACAGACGACTGTGGAGAAGAGAGCATGAGCTGGTACTACGAACCAAAGAGGAACAATTGCTTCACCTTCACCTACAGTCAGTGCAATAAAAACCGTAACCATTTCGGACACCTACGACGCGTGCATGCTGTCATGTGGAGGAGAGCTTTCAGCCCCCTGCAGCTTACCGAGCCTTCAAGGGCCGTGCAAGGCCTACGAGCCTCGCTGGGCTTACAGCAGTGGGCTCAAAAAGTGCCAGTCCTTTGTGTACGGAGGCTGCGGTGGCAACGAGAACAACTTTGAGTCTAAAGAAGCCTGCGAAGAGATGTGTCCCTTTCCGAAGAACCACAACTGCAAGATATGTAAACCCCGAGCAAAGATGGTCACCAGCTTCTGCAAGGCTGACTTTGTGATCCTGGGGCGTGTGACCGAGCTGATGGAGGAGCAAGAGTCAGGACACGCTTTGGTGACAGTGGTGGAGATCTTGAAAGATGAGAAGATGGGTCTGAGGTTCTTTGGCAAAGAGCCGCTGGAGGTGACTCTACTGAACATGGACTGGAACTGCCCCTGCCCCAATATCACTACAGCCGACGGGCAGCTCCTCATCATGGGGGATGTTCAGAACGGGATGGCCGTCCTGCAGCCCGACAGCTTTGTAGGCTCTTCCAGCACTCGTAGAATCAGGAAGCTTCGTGAGGTTATCCACAAGAAAACCTGTGATTTTATTAAAGATTTCTCTGCTGTCCAGTAGTCTTCTAAGTCTCAATCACTGTTAAACAGTTTTGTTTTCTGATTATTACAAGCTGTGACCTCACCAGTCTGATCAACTGCCAGTAAGCGTAAAACCTATCTGTAACATTTGGAGGGTTTTGTTGCCTGATGTTTCTTCTTTTCCTACTTTGATCAATATTGATTAACAGATCTCAGAAAATCACTCACTGATCCTTTTTGTTAGTTTTTTATTCAGGTGCTGAGTCAAAACTGTCTTAAAAGCTATTTTTTATTAGAAGCAAGCTTAGCAGACATTTGATGTTGCATGTACTGTAGGGCACACTGTATGATAAGGACAGGTAGAAATAGTATTAGTCACAAGCATATACCCCTGTACAAAGTATTTGTTATCTTTGGCAGCCTTTGACTATAACTTCATTATAGCTTTCCTCTCAAATATTATTTGAAATAACAATAATAACGTTCATTGTTGGGTATGTTTTATTATCACTGGTAAGTTTGCTTTATGTTTTCGTGGGCTATCCCAAAATGGACATTGTGTAACATCTGTCCGGAGCACTTGAGCTCACAATAATGCAATGCGAAGCCTCAGTTTATCTACCAGAATCAAATAAGCTCTTGGGTTCCACATTTGTGGGAGTCTGTTTTGATAAGTTTTTAATTTACAATACAGAATATATATGTGGACTTCTGTACTCTGTATTTATTTATCTTGATTTATTCCTATAGGGCTTTTGATATAAATATATATATATATATATATATATAGACAGAAAGTCTCTCTGTGAATCTAATTACACAGAGAGCAGACACATTTTATGTTATCTATGATATATTAGTGTCCATTATTTTGTATGGAATATGATGGCAAAACAAATAAAGATGATTTAGAAAATACAGAGTGTCTGTGCCTTGTGATGTTGTTCTGTTCCCTGTGTTTAAGGCCAAATATTCATGCTAACAACTTATCAGAAAAGTTTCATGCATGCAGTGCATCCCCGTCATCCATGTCCTCCTCCTTCCACTTGTATTTCACACACACAGGGCCGAGTCTGAAGCAGGTCACATTCCAGCCCAGCTGTGGTGGCCCGCAGAGCTGTGTGTTGTGTTGTGTCTGGGGTCTGGGGCCCTTGCATAGCACACACACGCCACCGGCCATCTATTTCGCCTGGCGCGGCCCCTTTCATGTGCAAGAGGCCGGGGTGAAGGGGGGAGTAGGAGGGAGGGGGAGGGTGAGGAGGAGGAGAGGGATGTCGGCTGATTCTCTCTCACTCACTCAGTTAGCCACATCTGTGTTAAAGAGACTTTATATTAAAAAGTGAGAGGAATGGAAGGAGAGTAAAGGTCCAAGTACAATTTAAGGATTGTATTCCCTTAAGTTAGCATATAGCTTGATGCTTTAATTATCACTAAAAGACAACATAACTGTTTGTGGTGTATCTTGTGGCTGGATCCTGGTGTGAAGAGATTATAAACATTGAAAAAATCCAACATGCATGAGAATAAAGTTGCAACACAAACACAAGGTGAGGGGAGAATCAACTCGGATTGACACTAGAGCGGTCTGATACAAAATGATCCACCTGGCTCAGCATGCATTTAGGAAACAGAACATAAGGAACCAAATAGCAAGTTAATGTTTTTCCCCTTCCACCCTCTTGCCCTTATATCCCCTTCTCTAGCTAACCCCCTTCCTCAGCTCTCTTCCTCATCTGTCTGCTCATTCACACTGACAGACAGCCAGCCTTGAGTGACGACCTCTGACCCTGATAATGAAAAAGAGGCCACCAAATAAAAGGCCATTTTCATTAAGTAACTGTTGACAAGTGTTAAGTGACTGGCTGAGCTCCAGACTACTCCGCACAGGCCCCTTGATGCTCCACACATCACAGCCGGCTGCTGATTTCAGTATCAGTTCACTAGAGAGACCCCAGCCAGGCAGCTTCCCAGACAGACCATAATAATAAGCCAGACAGCCACAGGCATAAAGAAAGGATGGGGCTGCAATGCCCTCAGTGACACAGTATCAGTGAGGAACTTGATGGTGTTCAGAGGGATGGTCGACTTTATTTCCAGATAACTAATACAGATACATTTGTATAAATTACCACATAATGTAGCAAAATCATATACAACAACTGTATAACATTACACAATCTTGGATGACCAAGTTATGTTTTTTTTTTAGAGAAAGCCTTAAAGGTCCCATGTCATGCTTTTCCGGTTATTACCCGTCCCCTTGTGTGTTATGAAGGTTTTTATGCATATAAACGGTCTGTCACAAACCCTCAAAGTACACCCTGTAGGGAGTAAAACTCTAACACAGAAAAGACCTGTCTATGCTGCCCCAGAACTCCTTGTTGGAGATTTTCTCTTTTTCTTCCTGGGTACGTGACGTGACCATACCCAAATGGACCCATTGGTCCAAATGGACCAATCCGTGGAGCTCCTCACACACACACACTCTCTCAGGCGGCGAAACTGTGGCGCGCTTACACTGTAGGTGCGCCGCGTTTGGGGGTGCTAGTGGAGCCTCGCAGATGGGGGTGCTGCAGCCCCCTCAGCACCCCCCCCTTCCCGCGATCCATTCGCGATGTCTCGCTGTCTCGCAGATCCCACGCAGCAATCTCATCTGTTTTGTCCTTACTGGTGTCATTTTCTGGTTGCTAACGCCATTGTAACACATAATCACTGATGTTCCGCTGTAACGGTGGTAGACTCATCAGAACAGAGTCGTCGAGCTGACCAATCAGAGCACAGTGGGCTCACAGGGAGGGAGGGGGGGGGGGGGGGGGGGGGGCAGGAGCTCCAACAAGCCGTTTAGGACAGAGAGTGAATACACATACTATACAGAGATGCTGTATGAGAAACCAATGTGATTTTGGAAAATTGCACAGTTAAATCTATTCTAGTATACCTCAACAATGGAATTATGATCAGTAGAAATGGTCATGACATGGGACCTTTAACAGATTTAACTTATTGAAAACACTACTCCACCAATTTAGCATTAAACTCATAAAATAGGGTCGGACACAATAGACTGTATAGACTTTTTAGCTAAATGAAGAGGATCAAAATTGATGTGCAAAAGCAAGAATATGATTTTAGTATTGTATGCATTATTCTAATAATTACCCACAATGCAAATCAACCACTGACAGATTAGTGGAGATTTGGGTGGTTTGTGATAGTAGTGGTTAATTTAGCTTCAAGCTTTCCCTTGAGATAAACCAAGATCAAAGAATCAGATATGTGTCAGTCCCCTGTGGTCAATTGCTCCAGTCTATACTGTGTTTTTTCCCCCTATCACATCCCTAACAAGACTACATAAAAAAAAGTCATGATAAACTGTGATGGAAGAAAAAAAACTAGTGTAATGTCCGCAGGAGGGCAGCACTCCCGAGATTGACTGGCAGGAGTGTCAAGGGGGTAGAGGTGGGGCTAGAAGTTAGTTAGATGTACAACAATGCACAATTCAATTAAAAAATAACGATACTTCATTATGGTTTAGATTTTGGGAGACGTTGTAAGCTTAATTAATAAGAATGTTGCCTATCTACAACAAAGCACCACCCAGGGAGCACCTCAGTGTAATCCAGATACTGTAATCAACCACACCCCCCCAATTACCGACAGGTGTGCTGGGTCCAGCTAACATGCTAAATGCTAACATGGTGGATCCTCCAGGTGATTTGGTTTGATCTAGGAGCTTTATGTTCAGTAAGGTGTGTGAGGACTTTCTGTAGTGGGACAGAGACTAAGTGAACTATGTTTGAAGAACCTGGAGCAGACGGTGGAAGACTTCGAGATGCAAGCAAGACTCACATAAATACGTTCATAGCCTAGGTGAGTAACTTGCATGGATGTGACCCTCCCGAGGAGAACGTAAACGCTGCTAGCATTGTGTGTAGCTATTATGTGCAAAACGTGTGATTGAGCTTACTGTGTTTGCTGTTGTATTTGTTTGTTATTTGTTTGTGGCTGCAGCTGTTGTGGATGTAAAACCTCCTTGTTAAAGTGGCAGGCTATTTAATCGATGTAGGGAATTGTATATTGCATGTACTTTTGATTTATTTTCTTCTGTTGTTGCTTGATTCTAGTGAAGCTGCACTCAAACAGGCTCAAACGTGCCATCCATCGACATTGGACGTATCTGACCATAGAGGACACGGTGGCATGAAGGGCTTCGACTGTAATGTACGTTAATTTAGCATTTTATTATTATTTTTATATAAGTCGGTACTAGTTGGTGGACCTTTTTTTTGTGTAGGTCTATTTGAGTAACATTTCCTTAAAGTAACAGTACAGAATAAAATACTGGAAGACTGGAAACAACAATACAGGGACTAATGTGCTGATTCCATTTGTTAAAGCTTGTGCTGCAGTTGGTTTAAGTATCATGTGTCATATATGTAGGAGACTTCAATTTATATATAGATATTAGGAAAAACCATATTTACTACATCGCATTATATATGTTGTGCAATTATTGAAGTTTTCCACTGGGTGGCAGCACAACACAGTATGAAATGGCCTAAGCATAACTGTTGCTTATCTGTTTGAGATGTGTCAAATTCTTGCATTCAAAGTAAATTTATGAGCAAATGTACACAAAAAAAAGTAATCTTAATGTTTAATTCAAACTCGTAATCAATCGTTTATTTTTCCACAAAAAAAAAAAATCTTCCAATAATTCCAGCTAATGCAAGTAAAATGTACATTTTAGGAATCTTTTAAAAATGAAATATGGTGGAAGAATGGAGATCGGAGCACTATCTCAAGGAAACAGTTTGTATTGTAAAGAGGTTACAATACTGATTTAAACTAAAGTTAAGATTAGTTTAACTTTTAAGAACTAAACTAGACATAATAATTAGTGCAGTTAACTGTTTTTGTCTTTTTAGAGTGCATCTCAGATGAAAAGCATATTGTAATTTTCCGTCTATGACACACTTTCACACTTGCCCGATGAATGCCTCCACAAGCAGTTAGCCAGATGGGCTGGTGGATTGCACACACACACACACACACACACACACACACACACACACACACACACACACACCACACACTGTCAATAGCAGCTCTCCAGGGCACAGCTGGTCTGTGTGTTGGGTTAGACTAAAGATTTGCCAGATGGGAAGGGATAGAGAGAAGGGGGCAGAAAGTCCTAAATTACAAAGATAAAATGTGGACTATCAGCACACTAAATTAATTTACTTTATAAATTCATGCATGTGCCCACAAAGTAAGAACACGAGTGCAGTGGAATAATGTTGATGGCATTAGGGGAGGAAAGTGAGGTGGTTTCATATTTGAGAAAACAAATCACACATTCTTGCATAACATGGTTAAAAAGGGGGCCCACACAAAGTTCAAGCTTGGTGTTTTTTTTATCACAGAAATCTTATACACAATTTTACATTTGCAGTAGCTCTCACTTTATTTCTATTGAGGACAGTTCAAGGGGAATGTATGCATTGAATGTGGCAGCTTTTGGTGACAGAAGAGGAGAAGCAGGGGACATAGTGGAGCCTGAAAGAGGAAATGTGAATATGGGAAAGAGGGGAACAGATAAAAATGGAGGAGGGGGAGGCCAAGAGAGGGAGGCCAAGAGAGGGAAATCAAGAAAGGTAAGAACACAGGAGAAAGGACAAGAGGACAGAGGGAGGACATTGAGGTGCAGAGGGCATGAGGGGGGGCTGGGATGAGTGAACGGTGAAGGCAGAAAGGTCATCGTTGCATAAGGAGGGTGTAAATTGTCCAGAACATAAAACTGCTTCTGTCGACTCTAGGGGTTTCTTTTCCCCCTTATCTTTCTGCTTTCTAAAAATAGTACTTGCTCAATGTAGGGGGAACTAGGACACTGTTACCTCTCACATATCTTCTCTTTTCTACCTTTACCTTATCACATAGGGATCGATGGATAGAGAGATGCTTGTAGTTTGCACGTGTCAATTCCTAAAGGTTCTGCTGTCATTGGATTCTAGGACTTTAGGGATTTCGATGGAGATGAACATTAAAAAAATAAAACCACGTTTGTCTTCTGTCCTTTTAGGTTGACAAGTCAGAGTTTTATCAATTCTACTTTAAGATTGCAGAATGTGGGTCTACGTTGATGAAGGATTGCATTAAATATCCCGATTTGCATTGCCATAATTGGATGTTTAACACCAAGAGGGGTTTTTGACAGACATCAGCAATAAACGATGTGTAACATATTCATGTGTCAAAGACACACCCATGCACAATGAAAACAAACCGGTCTGAGATCGTAACATTGAAAACGCATTTGGAGTGAGACAAAGCTGCTTAACCATTTCAAAGCATGTTTTTTTCTGATAAGAATCAGAAGTAATCAGGCGGCAGCCTCAATTCAATCACCGAGGAGATTCACTTATAACATCCTCCACGCACCCTCTCTAGCACGAACAATGACCATGTCATTGAAGAAGAATGGAAATGTTCTCTATTAGGTTTCACTCTTGCATGATGCGCTGAACAAACCTGTGCCCTCTAAGGACTAAGAAGAAGGGGCTAGTAAATATGTTACCATTTGAAATTAAACATGTAATTGTACATGCACCTACATGCAAATCAACACCAATAAGTAGGCCTACATTCATAGAAATACTGACAACCAGTACAAAACAGGATAAGGGTGCTCAGATTTGTTCATAGTGAGTTAAACTAAAACCAAACCACAGCTGCCAATAGAATAGGACATTGTTCCAAAAATATTGACTCACAATACCTTTATTTGTCCCACAGAGGGGGACATTTGCATTGGTTACAGCAGGAAAAGAGCCAAAGACAGCTTAATATTAACTAAAACACACCACCCTTAATTACCATATTTGTGTGAACAGTGAATTGTAGATTGTAAAATATGATTGAAAAATAGCCACAGGCTCCTAGCCACCATCAACCACAACATACATGCTTGCATATGCACATATCACATAAACACACAGGGGCCTGTATGCATTGAGTAAAACAATGCATTGAAATGGCTCCCCACCCCCAAACTATGCCTTTCTGTTTGTGGAATATAGATGTGCTGCCAATGTATGCAGGCAGACAGTCTCTTTAATAAGATGTCGCCCACCAGCCTGGTCTTGATTCATGTCATGCAAATACTAAATGTATTATGCACACACCTTTTCCTTGTTCGTTTCCTCTGTTTGTGAACAAATCAGTTTGAATTTAGACAGAAATTAAAATACAGATATTTGGTTTTAGCCCGCAGGAGCAAATGAAGACACTCGTTTTACACTCGAGGCATTATTTATAAACAAGAATGAGAGACACAAAAAACTAGAACATCCAAACTGAAGTGACACAGCATGAAATACAGGGCCAGGAGTGGCCAAAAAAAGACACAGAGAGAGGGAGGGGGTCGGGATAAAGGGATGCTTGGCACAAAATGTTCTAATCCCAAACCAACAGAACATAGATGCACTCTGGGACTTCACTTTGTTTCTGATTTTGGATGAGGACTGTTGCCCTAGTGTGACCCAGGAGAATGGCAGTAGGGATCAGCTGCTGTCAGGAGTGGAACAAGAAATATCAGTCTACTGTTGCTGTGACTGATTTGAATTATCTGCAGCTAGATGGGGGAAAAAATAAAGAGAGTCCTCTGGGAGACGAATGGAAGGACAAAGCATCTATTCAATACTTCTATGAGTGTTTTAAAATAAAAATGGATGATGTTATGTGACAAAGGACCTTGAGAGACATAGAGAGAAATGACCTTCTCACTGTTATTGTAGCTTGCAAATGAACTCATAATGACTGTCTCATTCATTGCTTGTGATGATTTGCACAGCAAACACACATTACGTTACAAGTGTTTACCACAAACACATTACTGCTTAATATGTGACAGTATAGGAGCAGCTTAATTCAGTTAACAGTAGTATAAAGGTTTACATTTCGCTCTTGCGGGCTACGGCGTAGGCTCTGTGTACAGCCTACATACTGTACTACTATAAATCAACCTTTTGGAAACACATATACTTAAATATGCGAGTGGTTTGTCACACAAAGCAAGATGCCACCTCTTGTCCTGTTTCATAGACAATGTCAAAGACCCAGTCCAAGAATGTGTCAAAAATATTTTCTTTCTCAGCCTTCATCACTTGAATGAATAAGCAAAATCATTATTGGATAAAATAACAATTATCTATTTATAATCATTTTCTATGCAACAAAATCGACCAAATAAAAACTTTACATTTTCTCCGACTTGTAAACAAAACATTAGTCACTGTTACACAGTCCTGACACTGGATGGCGTATGACATGCACAGTAACATTGTAAAAAGCATCAGGTTGGTTGTTGACCAACATAACTGTGTACACCTCACATGGACCTCGTAGCCCAGTGTTATTACTCTATTGCTTAATTATACTTTACATAGAAATAAAATGATCATCAAATGATTTTCTGAGCCCATGCACTGGTAAATTCACAACATAACCCAGCCTGTTTTTGTTCATGTAGAAATATACCAGACCCTTCCTCATTGACACAGTCCACATGGCTATTCAGTCCCTTTAAATAGCCCTCTCTCTGCTCACAGTCACAATGACCTCACAGCCTGTTGCTGTGGCAACCGCGGAGAGGCCAGCGGATGTTAGTCTACACTGAAATGCTATTAGGCTTTGCAGACACTGGAGGGAGTGCTACACTACTGTCGATCATGATGAGTTGACGACAGAGAAAGTCAGTTTGACTTCCGAGTGGTTGATCTATGGTCAGTTTTTTTATTTTGAAAGCTAAGCGACAGTTTCCAAAGATACTGAATGTGGCAAACTAAAGGGGCTTTTTAATGGGGTGAGAGGAATGCAGGTAAAATATGTTATTGGTTAGTTTAAATGCATTCCCATTTGGTGCTGAGAAGATAGGGTACGGTGAGTTTTCATAGCTTAAAAAAAAACAAACAAAAAACAGCTGCCTGCTCTGGAAGATAACATCAAGCTGTTGTTTAAAGTGCTTTCAAAATAAACTTTAACACAACTCTGTGGGAGGGGGAAGTTATCTTATACCTACCGAATGTTCGTTACCATCTTAGCATTCTATGAATCTGAGTAATGCTGGCCCTTACATAATACATGACTCATTGAGACCCTAGTTTAGGCAAATGGGGGGGCATGGGGTGGAAATACTTGCGTCAGATAGGTTGCCTAGGTTA